CCGGCCCTGTCGGCCCCAGCCTCCCGCCCCGCGGGGCCGAGAGTCGCAGCCCTGCGCCCCCCTCCCCTGCTCCGTGAGGGGAGCTGTGCTTCTAACGTGGGTATTTTCCGGTAGCTCGAGGAAACCCCCAGCCGTGAATGAACAGCCGGAGTTGGCTGTTGGCTGCGGAGGCTGCAGCGCAGCCCTGGCAGCCCTCCCTGGTTGCTCCTCTTTATCCAAACAATTTGTTAGATAAAAAGCAAAGTCCACGAGATGCGAGGACGAACAGCCTGTTCAGACCATCTCGCTGTGACCCTTGTGTGCCACAGCTGAGCCGGGGAGCCCCCACACTGCACTGCAGAGGAGGCTCCTGCCTGTGCAGTACTTTATCTGCTCCAAACTTAGTTGTGAGTTTGGTTTAGATTGAGTGTTTTTTATCACTGAAACACAGCGTGAGCCAGAATGTTTGCTGCTCATTTAAACAGTTGAACAGAAGACGAGCAAGCTGTGTTTCCTTATATGTAATGTTTACTCATAGGGATTTTCTTAGTATTCCTGCTCCAGCAAGCTGAAGAATTAATAGAACCAAGTGCATCCTTGACAAGTTGTTGGTTGTCACGTTAATTTTCGTGGCAAGGAGGGAGGTATTGAAATTTATGTATTGCAGAGACCCACTAAGCTTGTGTTGCTTTGGCTCTGTCTTTGGATTGTGTGAATTTCACATTTCTCTCTGTAAATAGGTGCAGTGTGATCTAACTCCCTGCAGCGAAAGCGCTGGGTGGGGAAGGCTCTCCCATCCCATGGGAAGTGGTGTTGGATCTGATACTGTGTCCTCATGGAAGCCTGGATCAGGGTTGCATTGAGCTGCTGCCAGTGGGGAGTTGCTCTGCTGCACTGCAATGCATTTGCTCGTGCAGATGGAATTTTTTTGTATCCTCACCCCAAATAGCTGCTGGCCTGACTAAAGGAGAGGTGGAACACAAGCAAGGTGCTCAGAATACCAAGTACCCATCTTAGGAGTTACCTGATTTGAAGCGCTGAAATGGAAAAAACATTACACACTCATCTGCTTTGCTTTCTGTGATGCTTTTTGTGTGTTGGTGATGTTATTTACAGTTCTTTCTCGGCTCCAGTGTCATTTTGGGATGGGGAGAAGCATCTCCAAGAACTAGTGATGTCTTCATCAAAAAAATCCACTCTGGTCAGTAAAGTGGAAATCCTTAGCTAGCTACCTGCCCTTGCAACCACCTGAGCTGAATCCCCATCCAACTTCTTTTCCCTTTTTCCCACCCCTCTCAGCTTTCTTCCTGTAACAGGACCCACCTGCATGGTAGGAGGCAGCTTTTATCAGCTCATGCTGTATTTTTTAAATCTCCTGATTTTATACTGATAAAAACAGTTATTGGATGTTACCAATAAAATGCAAATAAACCCTGGACACTGAAGTACATAATCCCATACATAAAACCCTGTATTAAATGGGAACTGGTTTGCTTCCCAAAGAGTTTGTGTGTTGGAACTGTGTCACTTTTTGATCATGTAGATGCTGCTGCTTTTGAAATCAGTTGGCTGCAGAAGCAGCCTGCTCCAGTTACTGAAGGGAGAGACGTCATCCTGGAAAACTTGGGTTTCTTTTCTGAACCTGTCTGGAGTACTGCTAATGAAAATGTCAGTCCTGACAAGTCAGGCATTATTAAAAAAAGAAAACCAGTTATCTTTATAAAGCCATTGTTTTCCTTGGATTTTTGTTTCAGATGTCTCCTGTTTCTCATCTGACCCTGGCCTTCTTGAATACTTTTGGTGTAGGGGAGAGAAGGGATAGCTCTCAAATTCCAGAGTCATCTGCTTCAGCTTTTCATGCCCAGTTCTCTTATGAAACTCCCAAGCTGGTAGATTCAATCACTGTTGGTTTCTTGCAAGAGACTTTTTATTCTTATGACCTTGTCAGTGAGCTGCTCACTCTGTTGGAGTAACTATTCTGCAGTATCCAACAGTACTAAATATAAATTCCAAGAGTTTTCTAAGGGTATTTAGCAGGATCTTGCTTTTCCCAGTTTACTTTTGCTAGCCCTTCTATGCCTGTGTGTGGTAAGAGTGACCACGTGAAGAGTATTTGTTTTTAGTTGGAGAGGATGTGTGTAAAAACAATTGGCAAAATCTATGTTCATCTTATCCAGGATTCTTTGAAAAAATTCTCTCATATTTGTTGTGTTTGAAAGCTTTTGAATTTTTGCACTAGGTCCTAGTAAATGCCTGTTCTCCTGCAATTCCATTTTGATGAGTTATAAACACCTTGTTTGCTGTTTCTCCCATAGTCAGTGTGATTCTGCTTGCTGTATCCAAGTATCTCCACACAGGCATTTGTAGTGAAGACTGAGTCATGCCTAGCAAAGGAAAGGCAATAACTTCCAAAACCAGAGCAGGAACCAAACTGTAACCTGGTTATAGGGTTGTATTTATCTGTATATTTATTTATAAAATTTATAATTTTTCTATGTCATTAAGCCCATGTGGATGGATGGTAATGAGGTAATGAAATATCCATTAAACATATTTTTGCCATTAGTATCCAGCTTCCTGCTGAAGTCTGAAAACCTCCTGGTTTTGGCTAGAAGTTAACTTTTGGTACTCTATCCTGTTTTCTGTAGGAGTGCCCCAGGGACCCACAGTCCAGGTGCTGATGCAAAGTTTTTCATCAGCTGGGGAAGGGAGGGAAGAGCCAGTTGAGATAACATTTGATTATTATCTGGTATTGTTCCACCTTACACATATTTAAAATAGCAAATGACCTCAGCCTTCCACTCATTACCAAAAACTTCATTTTCCAAACCATCATCCATGGGTAAAGATTCTTGGATACTTCTTCTTGGATACTTCTGTTGGCTTCATGGGAAAATGTTCTGAACTGGAAAACATTAAATGTTCAAGGAGATTTCAACTCAGAGCTCTTGAGGAATGTCATCTTTACCCTCTAAAGCTGGCCAAAGCTCAGCTGATACATCATAAAGAGCAGAGTAGGATCCGAGCTCCACTCTTGCAGAGAGGTTAAACGTAACCTGGATTAGGTGTGGGGAAAGGAGCTGTGCTCGAATGGGGTTGGAGAGCTTCACTAAACAGGTTTAACTTGTGCAGTCTAGTAAGGCTGATTACTATCTATAAATACAGGAGTGGGAGAAATGAGAACGAGGTGAGGTTTAAGTCAAAATAAAAAGGCAAAGCACCTATAAATATTTCTCTTCTAGATGTAAGAAAGCGTTTCCAAAATCTTCTTGTTTCAGTTCGGGGGACAGAAAACCTGAGCTCCTGCTTTGTAAAATAATAAACGTTATCTTGTGGTACCTGTTGCAGGTGAGGTTTGCAACTGGTGGTTCAAGATGTTCATTTCAGCCTTTAACTGAGGGATTTATGCATTTCTCTTATTATAGCTCCCTAGGACAAGTTCTTCTCACCACTCTGCAGATGGGGGAAAATGAGGTGATGGGATTTGTCTGATGCCATCCACGAGAACAGAGAAAGAGGGGCAGAACTGGCAAGTGAGGTTATCCTAGTTCTATTGCAGCCTCTAGGAAACAGTGCCTGGCTTTTAGAGGTACTTGTCATGCAGTGAGAAAAGTGCAAAGGACGTGGGTGACTGATCTGAATTTCTAAATGTTACACTTTGGGCAGCTTGCACTGAGGAGTCACAGAACTGGCCCAGAAATAAATCACCACCAACTGCTGTTCTAAATGACTTAAACGATAGCTACTGGAATTGATGTTATAGTGATTCTTAAATATACTGAGTTTTAGAAGATTTCATAGGCCTGCTCATGCTAGATCTGTTGTAGGAAATCTA